TGCGTGTTATGAAATGTGGTTGTTGGGTGGTGGGGGGGGGGGGGGGCTGTGTCTCATGTTGCCCATGCCAGAGCAGGGCATCTTTTCCATTTCAGCAGTCCCTCTTGTACCCTGAATCTGGGATCTTGTTGAAAGTTCCCCCCCAAAGCATCTTGCTTATGGTATAGTCTGCATTGTGCCTGTCCTCACTGATAGCCAAGCCCAAGAGCTTTGAGGGTGAGCTGGTGCAGCTCCTTTCCCATCCTGCTGTGCCTCTTTCAGTTCTTCTGGTCCAGCTGATGAGAAACTGTGGGAGGAGAAGATCCAGGCTCCCACCATCTGAAAGAAATCACTCACCCCCACCAAATCCATGGCTAACCATGGCAGCCTGTGGGTCCCTTTGCTCAGATATACTTGACTGAGCTCCCCCAGCCCTGCCCCCAGTGGGAGGCTTCTCCCACACATCAGGGGAAGATTTTTGGCAGCAACAACAACAACAACAACAAGGGCAAGCGGAGTGGGCGATGCAGCCTTGGGTTGGAGGGGAATGTCAGCAAGGGCTCCAACACCGAGGAAGAACCCAGCTGGAGTGGCTGTGGGGCTGCCTCAGTCTCCAGTGACAGAGCAGCCTCCCCCTCTCCTGGGACAGATCCACATGCCAACTTGGGGGGCCCTTGCTCCACCCTGTGAGCACTGGGGAGCAGCCTTTCTTGTGCCTGAAGTTGCTGGAATTCCCCTACCCCCACACTTGGGAGGAAACAGCCCTGCTTCCCCCGCCCCCTGCTTAGTTGAAGAACCCCTGGAAATGCCCCCTTTGGGCCAGGGGATCCCCTTTGGGGTCCCTCCCAGGAAGCTGGGGTCTTTTTTGTTTTACTGCTGTTTGTTTCAGCCCTGCACCTGCCCTCTGTATATACAGGCTGGTATCAGAACTCTTCTGTCCTCAATAAACAAGTCTCTTCCTAAAACCAGGCATCTCTCTGCCCTATGCTCGGGGCTGCCCCCATCCCTGCTAGAGATCACTACCCCCTTTGTGCCAGAGGTAGTCTGGCTTCCTGAACCCTGCTGGTGTCACCACCTCCAACTGGCTGACAATAGGAGGTCTGGCATCCACCATCCAGCCCTCTCATGTCCCAGGCCCCATTCTCCTTGGTGCAGGGCAGCGGTGCACTGCACCTACTTGGGGGGCTAAAAGGCAGGAACTCAGAGCAAGAAGGCACCTGGGGGGGTGGACTTCCCCTGCCTTGCTCTGGGGAAGGAAAGGTTTGTTTATCCCTAGAGTCTCCCCCCTAAGCCCCTCATTGCACGAGGAGTAACAGTTAATTAGTGGGAAGGGTTTTGGATTGGACTACCACGTCTACACGTGGCGAGTTAATTCGGGCTACCGGCTTTTTAAAATGGCGACTGGCCACAAATATGCTAATCAAGCACGGGATATTTAAATCCCATGTTTTATTCGCAACTTCGATATGCTTCATTTGCCTCCCTAGTTCGAACTAGGGGGCAAGTGTAGACATACCCTCTCGTGCAAAACACTGGAGGGTCGGGTCGGGTCAGGGGAGGGGAGGGGAAAGGCGCAGCAGTCCGAGCAGAGGAGTGGAGGCCAGGTTCTTCCCCTGGGTTAGGAGATGGGGAGCCGGGGCTGCGTGGGGGCCTAGGATATCTGGGTTCTTGCTCTAGGTCTGGAAGGTAAGTGGAGTCTGTTGGGGCCCAGCTGGGCGCCGGGTTCTTTTCTTTCTCTGAGCTGGCAGGAAGACTGGGGTCTAGTGGGGGAGGGTCGGAGGCCAAGATTCCTGGGGCAGGATGCCTGGTTGGGGGGGCAGGGAGGAGGCTCTCACCTGCGTTCTCTCCCGGCTCAGCCTTCCCTTCCGCAGCGGAGGCAGCAGCTGGGCGGCGCTGCGGGGGGAGCTGGGCGCTGGGCCCGGCCCAGCCTCGTTTCCCCGGCTGGCTCCGTCTTTGGTCGCCGCTTCTCAGCCAGTTCCGGCCCCGGCCTGACAGCGTGGGGACCCGCCGCGGTGAGTCCCGGCTCCGCCCGTGGGCTGCAGCTGGGTTGGGGGTGGGGAGGGTTAGGGGCAGATATTTGGGCGCGGGTGGGAGGCGGATGGGCAGGGAGTGGGGTCTGGGTTTAGGTGGGGCGCTGGGGATAGATCGAGGGGCACGAAGTGAGGGTGTGTGTGGGGAGAGCTGGGAGCAGAGTCGTGGGGATGAGGGGGTGAGGCCAGGCTGGGATATGGGGGAGTGGGGATGGGCGACAGCTGGCTGTGTGGGGAACCAGAGGGGAGAGGGGTGCAGCTGCAGGCATGGAGGAGACTGGGGTGTATCTAGTGTGGGAGGGAGGGGCTAGAGATGGGGGTTGGGTCTCAGTGGATGGGGGGTATTTATCTCCCAGCCATTAGTCTGCTCAGTTCAAGTGCACCCCTCCATTAGACTGCTTGCCCCCTCCCTCCAGAACAGGAGCAACCGAGGCCCAGATCCCCACAGCTGCTGTCAGATTCCTGGCTGCAGGTAGCTTGACCCCTCACTGAAGGCCAAACTCTGTGGGGGAGGGGGAGCTTCTGAGTAGAGATTGTCACTCCCCCTTAGTGCTGAACCTGCAGCTGGCAGTGCCACCTCAGCTGGGCCACTGAGCAGCAACCACCTGTGGGGTGGGGCGTGTCTGAGCATGGAGCTGGTCTTCCAGGGATCTGGCATCCTGAGATGCAATCACTTCTGGAGTGTGCCAGTTCTAGGGTCCCCACAGGACACAAGCTGGGGCTAGACTCTTAACAAATTTTCTTCCTTCAGTACAGCCCAGATGCTCCCTGGCCTCACCATGAGCAAGCAAGGGTCACCCCACCCCAGCAAAGACCCCCAGTTCTGTCTTATTCCCTGCCGGGCCCCCTGACACCTTTCCAAGTCCTCCAAGTGCTTGACCCTGCCATGTCCCAGGCCGCAGAGGAACCTGACAGAGGGGCCCGGCCCAAGGAGAGGCCAGGTGAGGCCAGGGGCAGGCGCAGCGGCCACAGAACAAAGCACCTGGAGACACCAGAGAGGGCAGAGCCGGGCCGGGCGGGGCGCTCACTGCGGCAGAGGATCAAGGATGCAGTGGGTCAGTGTTTCCCCATCAAGGGGCATAGCAGGGCCCGATCCCCAGAATTCTCCCCCTCCCAGCGCAAGATCCACCTGCGGGAGCTGATGCTGGACACGTGCCCCTTCCCGGCTGGCTCAGAGCTGGCCCGCAAGTGGAACCTCATCAAGCAACACACAGCACCCGTATCTGCACAGGAAGGACTGACCTGTGGTGGGGCAGGGCTGGCAGAGGACGAGGATGACCGGTTGCGGGAACGGAGACGCATCAGCATTGAGCAGGGGGTGGAGCCGCCCCCGGATGCCCTGATCCACACCTTCGAGGTGACAGCGCAAATCAACCCGCTTTACAAACTGGGGCCCAAGCTGGCCCATGGCATGAATGAACTGGCTGGGGACAATCGGGCCACCCTGGCACCCCAGCAAGAGGAGGAAGAGGAGGAGGCAGCAGTGGCAGCCCCAGAACAGGAGCTCCGCATCCACACCCAGATCGACTACATTCACTGCCTGGTGCCAGATCTACTGCAGCTAACCCAGCTGTCCTGCTACTGGGGGGTGATGGATCGTTACCAAGCAGAAGCCCTGCTGGAGGGGAAACCAGATGGGACCTTCCTGCTGCGGGATTCAGCCCAAGAGGACTATCTCTTTTCTGTCAGTTTCCGACGCTACGGCCGCTCACTTCATGCCCGCGTTGAGCAGTGGAACCACAATTTCAGCTTTGATGTCCATGACCCAGGTGTCTTCCATGCCCCCACTGTCTCAGGCTTGCTGGAGCGCTACAAGGACCCCAGTGCCTGCATGTTCTTCGAGCCTCTGCTCTCCCACCCAGTGTGCAGGCCCTTCCCCTTTGCCCTGCAGCACCTGTGCCGTTCTGTGGTAACCGGCTGCACCTCCTATGATGGCATCAGCCACCTTCCCATCCCACGTGCACTCCAGGAGTACCTCAAGGAGTATCACTACAAGCAGAAGGTACGAGTGCGGCGGCTAGACGCCCACTGGAACTGAGCCCCGGTAAGCCTCCGATTTCCCAGAGCTGGAAGCATCTGGCCTGTGGCTTTGGTCCTCTTGGCCACAGCCCATATGCAAGGGGCATGGGGTTGACTCCTGGATTGGACTGTCACCAGCTGGGCCAATATGCAGCTATGTTGCCAGCAAACTTTCCATGGCTGGGTTTGCCTTCTACAGCAGGTTCTGGGTCCCGTCTAGGAAGTTCTCGCAGCCCCCGGTGTGCTGGGGTCGTCAGCCCCAAGCAGGATGGAACAGTATGTCTGAATTACTGCTCCACCAACCGTACTGTGGCAGGAGTTTTCTCCCCTGCCTTGATCCTGCCCAGGGGAAGACACAACTGGGGCCTCCATCAGCTGCTCTATTTAAAGAGGCTGGGCTACTGGAATAAAGTTGTGCTGCTGTGACAACTGTAAGAGGCCCCTGGGGACGTATCGGGGGATGACCAGGTCTGGCCCTCAGCCCCCACTGAGAGCTGGCGAAGGGGCTGCATTCAATGATTGACCTTGACCCACCCCTTACTCCACCCCCTAGCAATCCCAGCTGGTTTTTCACTAGAGCTGGGTGCCTTGTCACAGGAAGCGACCATATGGCTCTGTTCCTTTGGAGGCCACCTGCTGGGATCCTAATTCTCCAAGTGAGCAGGGGCAGGGCTTGAGTGAGACTAATTCCTTAATCTGTTCCCCTTCTATCCCCTGCCATGGCCCCATGATGCAAGAGCAGCCTAAGAGCCATGGCCTGGGCCAGCACACTGAGGCAGGGGCTGGCTTGTTCTCCAGCTGCAAGGCCACAACTATCAAGCAGGAGCAAAGAGATGATTTTCCCTCAGTGTTGGGCACTGGTGCAACTGCTGCTGGGCTCCTGCTTTGTTTTGGTGCCCACCACTTAGAGTGACATTGGTAAATTGGATAGGGGTCAGAAAAGAGCCACAAGAAGGATAAAAGAATTCAACCCTAAGCTTGATTGGCTTCACTTAGTGTGTGTTCAGGGTGTCTGGATCCTCACATGTAAGTACCTGTGCGGGGAACAAATATTTCGTGGCCACTGCAGGCAAGCCACGGAAGGTTGCACCAGCGGCTGGAAGATAGTCATACTGGAAATAAATTAGAATTTGGTTTGGAGCAGTAAGAGTCCTTAGTTTCCGGCCTAGTTGAGGGGATAGGTGGAGTCTGTCTCTGGTTTTACATAATGCTGGTTTTTTTTCTGACAGCTCTGCTCTGGGAATTATTTGGGGCATGGTACCTGGCAGGTCCCACACTAGCTAAGCACCAGGGTCCTTACCGGCCTTGCTGGTCTCTGCAAGCAGGAGCTGGATCCTTCCTGTGCAGGTGCTGGTAGAACAAAGGAGAGCTGTCCTGTCCCACCGTTCCGGGAGCCAGGCCCCTTGGCAAGGAAACAAACCCAGGGCTGATCTCTGGGGCACTGGAGGGGGAGTTCAGCTGATCCCTAAGCTGCCCCCACCCTGCCACTATTGGGGCCCAGGGACTTTTGACTGTAGGAGGTACAGCCTTCTTTAGGCTGGGGGTGGGGTGGGGTCTGTATATATCCATTGTGCCACAACCAGCAACAAACCATCTCACCTCTCCAGCCTTGTGCTTCAGAGCCACCTGGCTCTGGGTGTAACAGGACCTCAGAATACCTGCCCCCACTCCCCATTAGGGGGGCCCCACTACCAGGAAGGCAACTAGGAAGAGAGTGGGAGTCAAAGACACAGGCCAGGTTTATGCCTCCTCCCGCTTCTGGGAGTGCCTGTGAGCAAGCCAGGGAAGAGGATCAGAGACCTCGCTCATACAGGGCTCAGCCCCTGCTTCAAGAGAAGGGACAGCTGCAAAGAGAAAGGGAGGTGCCAGGGGAGCAGGGAAAAGAAAAGCCAAGCTTTTTGGTCCTGTCCAGGCCCAGGTTCCTGCCAGCATCTTGCTACAGTGCAGGGATTGAGGCTGGTTCCAGTCCTGCAAAGCCAGGGAAGTGGCCTGAGGCATGGGAGCTGTCCTGCCCATCAGGGTTCTATCCCCAGCAGGGTTTAGTGCCAGAGCAACAGCTGCAAGGCCCAAAGGAGCCAGAGTCTGGTACAGTAGTGAGGAGGCCTATGGAGTGAGCCTTGTGACCTACGAGCTGGAGTCATTCTGCCCTGTGCAGCAGTCTGGGCTGGGCACAGGGAACCCTAATAAAGAGGGTCCAGTAGGCAGCCCATCGCTAGGGAGAGGCAACCAGAGTTGACATATGGTTCAACATGCCAGCCAGCAGCTCTCCACCCTCAGGTGGGCACGAGGCAGCACAACAGAGCCCTGCTGGAGGCAGAAACAAGAGGTTGAGTCTCAGTCTACGGGAAAAGAGCAGAGGGGTTACAGCCAAACTTCACTGATCCCTACTTGGACACACAGCCTGTTTGGCAAAAAGCAGCTGGCTAGGCTGTGGGAGAGACTTTTGGTCTGTATGCCAAGCTGGACTGTTGGCTTGGACTACATCTCCCACAATGCACCATGGAATCCAGCAATGCATGATGGAAAATGTAGTTCAGCTGGGGCGAACAGTGACATAGCTGACCTCTCAAAGTTGAGTTCTGCCTGCACACCTAACGGAGGGGGGAATCATTGTTGAAAACCATGTTATGCCCCCGCTGGCAGTGGAGATGCATGGCAGTGGCTACTGCAGAGAAACAAAACACAATTATGCCTCACAAACAGCTGAGCTGCTGCTACCTGAAGTGACTGACCCTGTCTCCCCTTGGAAAACCAAGCCAGCCCTCAGCATGCTTACGGGTTAGAGAGCACAGCCTCTGGCATGAAGGGGCAGGTGCTAGAGTGGGGGAGTGTGCGGAAGTGGCCCAGCAGAGTAGATTCACCTAAAGAGCTGTACTGCCTCTGGGTCCCTCCTACCGCTCCCCAGTGCTTGCCCTGCATTGGGGAGGAACAAAATACAATCAAACACTGCCCTCCCTGCTTCTGGTTAGCAAAGGCCTCAAAATCTTGGTCTTAAAAATACCAGATGCCTGCCACCACCCAAAGTTCCCTCTACTTTTTTGCCATCCATGTTCAAAATAAACTTTGTTCTGTGCATCGAGGCATGTGTGGATGTGCACCACTAGTAGAAACACATGGTGCCAGCTGCGAGCACCCTGCTAATCAACTGGGCAACACCTCAATCTCTCTTGGGTGGCTGCCCAAGCATTCAGGTTATGGGGAATACTACCCCCACCCCATGCAGCTCCACCTGGCCATGCCTGCAGGGGTGGAGGCATTAGACCTGCCAGCCCACAGTGTTCCTCTCTAGTGCAGCAGGCATTTACAGCAAAACCGCAGTTCGCCAACACTAACCACTGGGCCAGCCATCCCATCTTGGCCCTAACCTTTGTCCACCCAAGCCCCTCAAACAAATCAAGAATAAAAGCAGGGTTACAAAATAAGTACAGCTTTATCAGAGAGGGTATTTGGGGTTTCCATAGGGAGGTCTTGGACTTTGTTCAGGGGCACATTCTTTCACACAGACAGCAAGAGCCAGGGGTGAGCAAGACAAAGAGCCAGCTAACACGGGCTGATGGGGTTTTTGTGTTTTTTTTGTAAAATTTTTTCCGTTTTGTTTTTTAATAACGTATTCATGGTTACCAGCCATAGTCATAACAAAAGTTATCCATAATAAAATGTATCTAAAATAACATTTCTATCTGAAACAGGAATCTTGGCTCTCTACTGTAGAAATAGGTTTGGGGAGGTTGCCCCCTGAAAGGAGGGTGTTTTTGTACACACTACTTTTCAGTATATACTTTGGAAAGGCCTTTAACATTTAAACAGCTAGGGGTTTTTTTTTTTGTACCAAAGAGAGGGGCTCAGATGGTGGGAGTCATCCACTTTGGGGCATGCTCCTCTCCCCACACTGCAGAGGTCTGGGGAGACATCAGACTTTTTTGTCTTGGGGCAGCTCTCTGGAAAGAGACAAAATTGTACCTAGGTTTGGGTAGAACCCTGCTCCCCCCAAAACAAATCAATGGGGATCTTGCAAACCCCACTTCTCCCCCAGATTCCCTGCTGCCCCCTCAAATCCCCAGTGGGAACCCCACCCCGCTGCCCCTGGACATCTGAGGATTCTGCAAGCCTCTGGGTAACCCCAATTCTCTGCCCAGCTGTTGACTGCACAAGGTGGTAGAGATGGGGGGTCCCTTCCCTCAAGCCCAGCCAAGCTTTGGTGCCTTGTGGGAGCAGAATTTGGGGAAGGGAAAATTTGTAAGTTTTTAAATCTCTTTGTTTTGAAGAGTTGCAAATCAGAAGGAAATAAATAGGTTAATCCAATCAAAAGGGGGTTGGGATGGGTAAAAGCCACCCCCACTCCCCAGTCTCCATTCCCTGCCTACAGGCTCCTCCCACCCCCAGCCCATGTAGTGTTTTTGTTTGTTTGTTTCTCTCTCTCACACACACACACACACACTCACACACACACACACACACACCTTGGGGGTTAAGGGAAGGCTTGCTCCTACCTGATTTCCCCCCCAGCTCAGCAGGGCTCAATCCTTATCTCCCTCTATATCCCCATCAAGGCATTTAAGGAACAGCTCTGTCCCTCTCTGCCCCCCCCCCCCCCAC